AAGCTATAAAACATGAATGTTGGCGATAATCTATTCGGGAGGAGCTTGATGCATTGCGAGCAAAATAAAACTTGGAACATTGTTACTTGTCCGTCCGATGTTACTCCTATTGGTCGTAAATGGGTCTTTTCGATCAAACATAAATCCGATGGGTCTCTTGATCGATGTAAGGCTCACTTGGTGGCTCTTGGAAATCGATAACAATATGGGATTGATTATGAAGAAACATTTGCTCCCGTGGCCAAAATGACTACGGTTCGTACAATTTTGGCTTTGGCGACTTCTCAAAACTAGTCTATACATCGGATGGATGTTAAAAATGCATTTCTTCATGGGGATCTTAAAGAAGATAGCTACATGTGTTCTCCACTCGGTCTAAAGGTTCGTTGCCACGGAGGTATGTCATTTGAACCGCTCTTTATACGAGCTTAAATAAGCTCCTCGTGCTTGGTTTGCTAAATTCGGACAAACTCTTCTTGATCCGTACTTTGTGCAAAGTCGGTACGATCCTTCACTTTTTTATGCAAGACTTCGAATGGGCTTGTTCTCTTACTTGTATATGTGAATGATATTCTAATTACCGGTACTAATATTGACCAAATTGGGCAACTAAAAGCTTTTCTACATGCTTCTTTTCACATGAAAGATCTTGGCTCTTTGGCCTATTTTTTGGAATTGGAAATTCATAGAAGCAACAAAGGAATCTTTGTAAATTAGCACAAGTATCTCAATGATATCATTAATTTATTTGAATTACGTAATATAACTTCCGTTGATACTCTCATGGAATTAGATGTCAAGTATCACAAAAATGAAAGTGAGCTTTTAAAAGATCCAACATTGTATCGACGTCTTGTGGGAAGTCTAGTTTACTTGACTATCACTAAACCGGACATATCCTTCGCTATTAACTTGCTGATTCGGTTTATGGCATTTTTGAGGTATTTACATATAGCAGTTGTAAAGGGAATTATTCGCTATCTTCATGGGACTTCTAATCGTGGTCTATTTTTTACGGCTAGTTCTTCTTTAAATTTGGCTACTTACGATGACGCCGATTGGGCGGGTCGTCTCGATACGCGCCGTTTTACAACGAGTTGGTGTGTATACTTGGGTGATGCTTTAATTTCCAGGAAATGCAAGAAACAAAAACAAGTCTCCAAATCGTCGATTGAGGCGAATATCGTGCCATGTCCGCCACATGTTCGAAAGTTACTTGGTTACGTGGTTTGCTCTCTAAATTGGGTTACCACCGGCCTACTCCTATTCCTCTTCATGCCGACAATACAAGTGCTATCCAAATTATAGCAAATCCGATGTATCATGAGCGTATAAAGCATATCGAGGTCGATTGTCATTCAATCCGAGAATCCTTTGACAATGATTCAATTACTCTTCCTCATGTTTCTACACATCAACAGATTGTCGATATACTTACCAAGCCCCTACCTTCGGCTCCACATCGGTTCTTTGTTAACAAATTGATGTTGGTTGATTCCCCGACATCAATTTGAGAGGGGGTGTCAAGTAAAGCTCGTCAAGATGTGATCAACGTAACTCGTCAAGTTATTATTGCTCGTAAGTATATACTTTCCTAGAATAGGATCTACCGTGATATGGGGACATAATTGGGGAGTTGATTGATGTAATTAAGGGATACAATACCTTGTATAAATTACTATATAAAGGGAAGAAAAGCTCGGAGGAAGGAAAAGATATTTTTTCCATAGAAATCTTGTTTTGTTATTCTTGATTTGTTAACTCAAACACTTGAGACCGATTGCCCAAGTCCGAATACATGAGATTAATATTATCCCACGGCTCCTTAGCAAGTGTGGTAACACATATAATTGGAATTGATTTCCGTCTTCATAGAATTCACTAAGTCATTATCATAGAATTTTTAGCATCTCAAATGGAGTAACCAAGATTCTCGAGGGCGGGTTCTTGTTTTTCTCCTATCAAGTAGCCAATTTACCCTCTTCTATGAATATACATCCACACCGATTAAGACTAGCACATAAATTTTTCTCAATTCGGTTATATGGTTGTAATTTAGACCGAATAGGACTCTAATATAGGTAGATAATGGGTATTGGCTTTTTTGATGGGGCTCGTGAATTTTAGATAAGTTTGGTTGAGATTTTGATACAAAATCGGGCATGATGAAAGAAGATGGAGGGTGGACACATGGCTAGAGGGGCTAAGGTAGCTAGGTTATTTTCTAGAATGGACGGGGTTGGAATTGGTCTAGTGGTTAAGTTTTTTGCCTAGTGCTACGATACCATGTGGAAAATATTCTACTCGTGTTTATTTCTTCTATTTAGATTACGAATAAACAAGAATACAAAAGTGTCTATACTAGAAAATAATTCTATGCAAATCAAATCTCTTACTTTCTCTCCTAATCTATTAGAAACAAATTTCCTCCTAATTAGTAGCCCCTTGATCCAGCCTAGCATTGATTTCTCCTTCTCAACATACCATATATAATCTTTAATTGAATTTTGAGAGCCCGCATATTCAAGAAGATAAGCCTTTAAAGTGGGAACGAAGTAAATGTACTTTTTGAGAGTTTCTTGAATACATATTTGAAAATAAGAAAGAAAGCACACGAATCCTAGCTTTAAAAAAAAAAAATCTATGTAACTAGAACTTCATTTTTCTTGCTATCCGTAACTAAAACTCCATCTCGGTTACTCTCCGTAACTAGAACTCTATCTTTGTTTCTCTCTATAACTAGAACTATCTTTCCGTTATTCTCAATAACTAGAACTCGTTTACGTTACTTTTTCTAACTAAAAATCTATCTCTATTACTTTCTATCGAACTCTATCTCTCGTTCTAACTACAAATCTATTTAAAGACACCACAAAGTGTGTGTAATGGACTTACAATCTATTCTTGCTTTCCTCATAGTATCAAAGCTTTAAGAGATCTAACAACCCATGTTCATATCATATCATATCTTCTTCTTCTTCTTCTTTTAAGTATGCCGACCTTTTCTTAAAAATACTCGGTACTACTATCACGTAAATTACTTTCATTCACATGTTCAACATCAACTTTCTCTTAAACTAATCTCAACAAACTATCTTTTTTGATCACCCAAATGAAGTAAATTCTTCAAAGATACAAAGACTAATAGAGATATGTATAATTGAGATCATCTATTAGAGCAAAAATTATTAAAAGTTTACTTATCCTTATAAATACTTGCACAAACAAATATATCCATATTTGCATTACATCCACCATGCACCATTTTGTATTCATAATCTGTATAAACATCATGTTTATTTAACTTCTTTGAAACTAAATTTATTTATAATTCATATGTATAACTATAAGTCAACAAATACTGATTTAATACCGAAACAAAATAATATTTACATACAGTGAACCGCCGGCCATATTTTAGTTGGGAACCAAAAACGGCATTCTCTGAACCGTCATTTGTGCTATAGTATAATGATAGACATTTAAGATGCCACCAAACAACCGTCCATCCATAGTTTATGATGAGAAACAAATTTGAATATCTTTTACATGGCCTGTAAATAAACTTAATTTCAAATAAATATTAAGAATTGAATCTATCACCACTTGTTATATCAAGAAGCCACTGTCACTAAGCCAAAGAGCCACTGTCGCTAAGCCAAAGACCCCCGTTACTTGTACTTAGAAAATGAGATTTTCCGTTAATACGCACCGGCAAAACTTGCTTATTGGCGAAGCACTGTTTCCTTGGGGAACGTTACATGAAATGACAAGGTATTTGATGTTAATGGCAGTCAATTTGTTATTTCTAACGAGAGAGAGAAAAAAAAAAAAAAAGGCTTTATCCTCCACTGTCAATGTTAGACACCTTACGAAGTCATTTTAGCCAAAGGAGGAAAGGGGTTAAATATCCATTCTTGAAATTAGTAAATGATTTGCCTTTATAGACCGAATTAGCAAAAATGTATACCCAAAAATTTCATAACGTGTTCTATCTTTATTCTTCTAGAAAGGAGTTAAAAAAAAAATCACTCATTTTTATTTTAGAGACATACAAAATTGAATTTTATTTCTGTTTTCGAGGATCAAATGCGTTAATTCTATCATGCACTACGATCCAAATCCTATCATAGAAAGACTATAACCCCTTTTATCTTTGGGATACATAAGCAGGCCCTGGTATCCAACGCCTAATATTTTCCGAGAGCGACTCCCCAGTCGTTTAACGCATTACACGCCTAGGAACATTTAACTTTTCCCTGACTGGATGACGTCAACAACGTTCATATTGGAAGTGCAGGTGATATTATACAGCTTACCAATTCCATAACCAAACGTCCGATTCCCTTTCCAGATCTGAACCTATGTTTTGATTAATTGGTTGCAGATCCCAGGTTGTCATGTTGACCTGGTTAGACTTGTGTTTTCACTGGGAACACACAGGACAACCTTTTTTAAAAAGAACAATGATGACAGCGAAAAGCGTATAAAAGCTTTGAAATTTAAAATCCATTATTAAATTAATCATGATTAGTTAACCTGTGACAGATTTTTCAACAAATGATCACCTAATTCATACTTCTTTTTGTGCTGATCACATGCATATAGAAATAGAATAGAAATAGTTTGTTCCCATATTCATCCTGGTCAAAACCATGTGCCAGCAGGAATTCAATTGCTACTCCAGAAGGAGAAACCTTTACTGGCAAGAACAGAGCAAAACACCAATGGCATGACCTAATTGCAGAGGCACTAGCTTCTCAAGAGATGCAGATATTAAAGAACGCAACCAGTCCATGACTCAAAGATAGTCTTCCTTGCAAAAAAGAAAAAAAAATGGCAATCTATGGCAGCGCATCAACTCATCAGAAGAATCATAACTACTTACATTATGTTGTATACAGTAATAAATGAAAGATGAACTCGGAAATACTAGAGCTATAAAATCTATTACTCCTTTCGAAAGTTTTGGATCATTTAGCCAGCAAATGACTCACATTTTAAACAGCTGAAATTGACCAATATGCTATAAACCCCACAGCAACAGAAAAGTTTATCAAGCTTTGAGGTGCTGCAGAGGAAGCCGGCAATGCTCCTAGGGGTGAGAGTGCAGAATCAGGCCCTGGTGCTACCACCTCATCTGGATTAGGCGGGCTTGGGGTGGAGGGAATGGTGGGAATGGATGATTCGGTCGGCGAAGGCAGCACACCACCAGGAGAAGGTAATAATGGAGCAATGTCTGGTGACAGTTCTTGGAAAGGAGATGGTGGAGGAGAATGGGTTAGGAATGCTGGTGAAGTAGGGATAGGATAAGGAGAGGTTTTTGAATTTAGCTGAGTGGAAGAAGAAAGCAAGGGAAAGATGATTAAAGGCTCAATGAATATTATGAGAAACCAAGAGGAGGCCATTCTAATGATCAAGAAATCAATGCCACATATTTGGACAGAGTAATATAATGTGGGGGTAAGGAAAGTTTTGTTTGATCAAAGGGGGTGCCAGTTGACAGTATAGGATCTTTTGGTGCCAGTTATGATGGAAACATTTTAAAGTTATGACTAAGGGCATTGGGTGGGGTCCTTTTCCACATGGCATATGATGAATGGGCGGTGAAGAAAATTTGCACGTTGGCATGTACGAGGAAGAGACAAAGATTGGTTGAATTTTGTTGCGATATGTTTGTTGGAGTAGATTCCTTGTCCCGTGAATTTGGTTTCCCTAATTTTAGGATCATATTAAACCCGTAATAACCTGAGCTTTGACAAATAATGGAGTATTAAGTGACAAAACGCCTTGCCTCTTAGCATACTGGCCATGGACCTTGATGAAAGTTCTGTATGCAAAGGAACAAGGCAAATTTGGCTTAAGCCAACTGCTCAACTTATCAACGATTAATTTTGTGAAGGACAGCTGCTCTTGCATGCAGTTACCGATCATATATACGCGTACAAATCACGCACGCATGCTTCTAGGTCCACCAACCACGATTAGCAGCTAGCACAGACGGCTAGGCTCAGCCAATGCAAGCAGCAGCAGCTGTCCGTAGGAAAGCTCGTAAAAGATAACACGGATGAGTAGTGATGCAACTCGTCTCCAAAACTTGAAATGGTCGAAAACCGTATCAAATTGGACGTGAAAGCATCAGCCATCAGCATCCAGTCCCCTGAACTGTCTAACACCACCATATCTAGGGCTATAAGCTACAATTTCAGACCTGTCATCCTGAGTCTTTGTTCAATAATATTTCAAAGCTTATCAAAAGTCCGTTTGATATGTTTAACCCTTCATCTAAAGTACATGTAAAACGAAATCAGGTCAATAACCAACTAGCCTCAGATCAAAATAATTTGAGCAAATGGATGCATCAAGAGTGGCAAGCGAGCTCAAATTCGTCCCTGTCTAATCACTGAACCAATAACTCATAATCAACTGAAAAGTATAAGCTTTAAAATTCCAAGTGAGTTCACAAATTCAGGATGTCCATCCAGACCCCAGCATAATTAAAGAGAAGTTGATTCTTGAAGTTAAAATACAGTGATAAAGCAAAAAACGCTTTCCTCGGTGCTTGGTGAATGGGGCACTAATGTAAGTGAGCATGTTCAATTACCGAGTCATTAGAATAATCCATCTATTTCACACGATGATAAGCATGTGCAGTCTTAAAGAAAAGGAAAAGGATGCTCAAATCTGATCTAGTCACTTTAAGCAGATTCCAGAAGGGAAAAAATTACTTGATTGCCTGTTTATAACAATGATAAAAAGCTTACAAAGATTATACAAAAACAGGCCCATAAGAGGGCTCTATACTAGTAATATGTAATAAAAATTGAGCTCACCTCAAGACACGAGGGGACAGGACTATGACCCTTTATATAGAATTCAGGAAACATGTCTTTCACGTCCTTTTACAAGCCGACTAACTTGCATCATACCGGCGACCTGCGAATAGTAGGAACTAATAGATGTCAGAATTCCTAAACTTTAGGAAACAAACCAAGAAAGGAAAAGAAACCAACAAACAACCTCAAAGGCAACGAGGTAGACGCTGCAACTCTGAGGCCACAAGCAAAGCAGCATTGGCTAAATCAAGGGTGCTTGAATTTTTCAGCTCCAAAAGAATGACTTCAATCCTTGAAATCTCATTTACAGATATGGATAGTATCATCGCATGTGACAAATATTGCCGACAAGAATAAGCAAGAGCATGCAGTATCCGCTGCAAAAGTAAGTGAGGAACACCCTTGCGCCAAGACTCGAGGATTGCACTAACCTTTGGAAGGTTAGTTAGAAAACCAGTTGTGGCTTCCCTTGGAGCTGCCTTCAGCAACAACAACACACACTCAGAAGCTATATCTGCAATATTTGCTTCACGGGACACACTCAACTCCAGGAAAACACCAACATTGCTACCAAAGTCCATTATATCTCTTATGTGTTGATCAACTGCAGCGCTTGCCTCAGAAGAAGAATCATTTAGAAGTGCTGGCTCTTTTTGGTAGTCAAGTCCTCTTTTACTGCCAACTGAACATAGAAGGAATGCCCTACACAGGCCAAGAGTTGGCTCAAGAAAATCTTCCATGTCCTTTGCATACACAAACTCTAAAAGGTTTCCAATCCTCCTAACCACTTTTAATTGAGAAAGCAACTTGGATTCCATTTCAGGAGCTGATGCCAAAGCCAGACACAGCTGAACATTATTGACATTTGCACTTGATAGGTCACCAAGCAAAAATTCAAAACACTGTGAGACTGTCTTCAGATGTAGAATGTCAGATATTTTAATGTAGTTAAACTCAATGAGCATCACAAGGAGCTTCTGTGCATACATGGGAATGGGATCTTCATCTTCAATAAAGGTTGGGTATAGAGGGAGGAAATGACTATTGGATATGGACTTTAAAGTCTCTGATCTTTGCTCATCTTCCAAAGGTTCATTCAAGAAAATTACCATTACATCAAACAGAATCTTAAGGCACAAAAATCTGGCATCACCATCCTTGTTGCCCTTGTACAGAACAGCTAGACCAGGAAGGATTTCACCAGTGAAAATGTTGGGGCTTTCAAGAATTACAAGACGCTCCTCTGCAACAGATTCAAGAACTCGAAGAAGGGTTATTTGGAAGTCATCTCTGCCCTGGAAATTAAACAAAAAATGTTTGTCAGTATTTGAATAATTATTTTGCCCCCTGAGGTGACCAGAAGTGCTCCAACATGATAGAAATATAATGTTTATTTACCAAAATAAGTATGAAGATAATTCTGGAAATGTCCACCTTAGAAAGTCTACTCCGTATAATGGATCAGTACTTGTCCAAGCATTATATTTTACCAACCATACAGTTCTCTTTCTTCGAAAACTAAATAGTTTCCATAGCAAATTGCAAAACAGTTAAATTAAATCTAATTGAGTCAGCCAAAAATTATAAAAAGGAATTACCATACCTATATTTGGCAGTGGTATTAGGTTGCCACTTGAATAGGCATTTCGCTAACCATGTAATATCCTAATTTTACTGGGTCAAGCCAACTCGTTCAGGCATTAGTACCTCAGACTTCATAACCGCATTTTCAATTGTTTACAGCTAGATAACGAAATCTAGCCAAATAATGACTTCTCAACACTTTATAACCAAAAGTTTTATTCCAGTAAAGAGAAGAAAAGAAAAATAAAGGTAAAAATAAGAAATATACAAACAGCACAAAATTACTCAAGCTCCAGCTTCATACCTGAAATGGTGCCTCCATGACTCTGACCAAATTTGCCAGCTGCTGCATAACTTGATGGTTCACCACCCTCAGCTTAAAAGAAGAGCTTCCAAGAAGATGAAGAACAACTGGAAACAAATGAACATTGTTCTTAGGAGCAATTCGATGTGCAATGGCAGAGATATGACCATGGCGCCTTCCTCCTATCAATTGCTGAATATCTCCAGTTATAATATCCAGTAAACTTGGTATTGTAGAAGCCACAATGTGCACAAATGCTTCTAGACATTGTTGGAGATAGAGGTCCTTCTCTTTTGCTAGCCTATCCACTGCAGATAGTAACCTTGGGTTGCAAAAAAGTGTGGTAGCCACCTCCTACCATTCTTACAAAGAAGAGCAATGAAAAGAAGTGCCTTTCCCCTCAAAATTTCAGTACCCTGCTCAGAAAGAGACACGAGACTTGGGACCAAATTCTTATCCTCTCCCAAGTTTGAAAGGTGCCGTCCAATATTTGTGAGCACATGACTTCCAAGCATGGCCATGTTTAAGAGGTTCAAACTTAATTGCTGCTCACGTGGGCTGCCCTTGACAAGGGCAGATGCTGTGTCCTTGAAAGACAGTTTCTCCATGACTGATTGAATGCTAGGAGGATTGAATCTTGCCAGGCGGACTAAACATGAACCTGCAGTAAGCCTGATGCTCTCCTGTTTCCCTGCAGCTCTATATATATAACAGAGGTTACTAATCACATCCTGGCTAGTGAAGCGAGCTGCCCAGTGCCCCCCTTGACTGCAAATGTTTTCAATTGTCCTCAATGCATAAAGTTGAGTTATATCGTCCTCTCCTTTACGTAAAACAGATGACACCAATGAAATCAATGAGTTTGGAACCTGCTTCCGGTAAAAGAACATTATTAAATGAAGAAAATAGTAGTAAAGGAGAAGGAAAGCATGCATAAAGAAAGACATCCCTTACAAGCAGAATCTTCTATCAAAGCATAACTTTTGAAACTCCATGAATCATAGAAAAAGAAAGGAGTCTCCACTAATCAGAATCTGACTGATAAGTGCAGATGAAAAGATGAAATAGAAAAATGAAACTTTATTGAATGGAAAAATCAAGTTTCATGCAATATAGCACACAAATAAGAAACTTGTGAAGTAAGTTAGAAAGCTAACCTGCCAGCCAAATGTGGATCGGCTGTCCTTTGATGGAGATTCTGGTGGATTGTTATCTTTGATCTGATCATTCTGGGTGGATATATAAAACAGCAACTCACCTAAAGCAGCCATGGAAAATCTCCTAACTTTTTCCTGCTTGTCTCTGAGGCCATCTGTAAGTGAGCCCAGAATTCCAGAATTTGCCAGATCATCTTCAATAAATGTTGAATGACGAATTAACAAGCCAATCAATGAAGCAAGTTGAACACGCAAAGCTGAGGTCTTGGACAGTCGAAGCATTTTAACGAGCATGAGCATTATTGGCCCATTTGTCAGGATATTGGCTGTATCAGCATTGCTACTCAACATCTCAAGGTATCTAATCACATTCTGCTTCTCCCCGATGCTGGTGTTTCCATTTAAAATGGATATGATTCTATTGGTGAGTGCATCCAGCTGCTCCTTTGACATCTTTACAAAATCAGATGGTTGCAGGGCCTCGAATGGAAGAGAAGGAATAACATTTGATGCTTTATCAGCTTTTCTACTGGGCATTACAGGTCTGACAGATAGATCAGATGGATGCCAAAGGACCTGTGAAAGGTTATTGGATGATTTTGAAGAATCAAACTCAATGGCTGACCCCAAACCTTCTTTAATTCTTTGATTCCTGAGCTGAGGACTAGCACTGAGTGGAGTAGAAACCATATCAACATGCTCTGAAGATGAATCCTGGTCATTTGTTCTTGATTCATCTGAGGCAGGTGCATTAACCACAGGAGAGGTTTCCCATTGAGGTGTGTTATTGACCACCTCTTCTGTTGTACTGGTTGGGTTATCTAACCCATCAGGTTCATCATGTGTCTCATCTTCAGCATTCTCATTAAAATCAAGCTCCATATCAGTATTCTCGATTTTGACCTCAGAATCATTCTCGGAACCACTGGGCAAGGGCCTCCTGTAGTTTTCCTTCTCGTTCTCCCTCTGTAAGTTTGATTTTGCTATTCTTGACAGCCTTAAGAGATTAACACGCCTAGCAGTGCTGGAAGGATCCTTCTGCTTCTCCTCAACTACCCTGCCAGAGGCCTTTGTTTGAGTTTTCCTGCCACTTGGCGTACCTTTAGCTGGTGTCTCATGACCTCTTAATCCTAACATAGAATTCTCATCCTGTTTTGGTGTCACTTTTGCATCCTTTTGTTGACGGTTTTTTGCATCCTTTTCTTGACGGTTAGGAGGGGTCCTATTTACTAAAGATCTGTCTCCATTACGTTCTGAGAGACAAGGCTTAGCACAAAGCTCTATCATATTATCAAACGCAGGCTGAGGAGGTAGCAGCGCTGGAGAAAATTTAGTTCTCCAGAAAGCATGTCCACAAAGCTCACTCCACTGGATTCTTTCAGCTGGATCTTTTACCAGGAGAGAATTGATTAAGTTGACAAAGGGACGGCTTGGAGTGCCAGGAAGGGGTGGTGTTGGATCTGAGAGTATGGATTTCACTAGCTGTGTGAATTCTCTTCCCACAAAAGGAGGCCTCCCTGCATAGCACTCATACAGTACACAGCCTAATGCCCAAAAGTCAGATGCATACGAATGGACACCCCCATCCTCAAATAGTTCAGGAGCCATATAACAGGGTGTTCCGCGTTTTGCTTGTGGCAACTACGTAAATACATAAAAGCAAAGTTAAGAGTCATAAAAAATTATAACCAGATAATAAAAGAACCAGCTACATATCATGATGCCATGTTCAAATGTTCTGCATATGGTGAGTTAAATGCTGTAGCAGTTAGAACAACCTACCATTGAAGAAGGAGTTTTGGATATATCGCTCAATTTTCTTGCCAATCCAAAATCACACAGCTGCATTGCACAAATGAGCATGAATACCAGTCATGTGCATAACAAAAACTAGAAAGATTACTCAATCATACAAAGAAAAAAAAATGCATATGTACCTTTGTGTGTCCGTTCTCATCTAAGAGGATGTTTGATGGTTTTAAATCACAGTAAATGATTCCTTTTGAGTGTAAAAACCTGACAGCGGTAACCATTGTAATAAAAAAAAAAAAAATTGAAAGAAGACAATTTTTACAGACATCATATAGAAAAAAAAAATTAAAAGCCAATCAGCATTTCTTACTGCAAAGCTCTAACTACGTCATGGGCAAGATCGTGAATTGAATCTTCAGGCAGCTGACTATCCTGCAAGTCAATTATAAAGCATCTTGGTGAAATTATCGTGCACTGGACATTGCATATAACAAAGTTTGAAATTCATTTGCTCAATTGACTAAATAAACGTGGAACAAATTTTCAGGATGGCAATACTGCACTTATGCAGAACACACAAGCTATTATCATTTGCAATTGGGTAACATGGCTTCCATATTTATTACCGTAGCTTTGACGAATACGTTACACAAATGCTTCGCAAGGGCAAATATCTCAAGTTTTTGGTCATCTTAAGCATCAATAACTTTTCCCTTCCCAACAGTAGAAAATTGGCGAAGTCAAAACAAGATTCTGCCCTAACTGACTATACAAACCTTTTCGTGGCCTAAAGACGAGACAGATAAAAAGACATAAACACTCATATTGATGCAACAGTGTTCCTTTCTCTCATATTTACGACCAGAAAAAACTGTATAATCACTCTTCTTGGACATCACATTTGTAGACTATCCAGAAGTGTTGTGCTGGAAAAACACATAATGACACAGTGGCCTATGGCAGACCTACATTCTGCCTTACATTTTAAAAAAAGTCAGCAAACAAAATTTCCATGATATTGTATTTAATGATGAACATGAATGATAAATTCCTCAGCTCCCCTCATGTCCAGCAAAAGAATGAGAAATTCATTAAAGAAAAGCAAGGTATAAAATAAACATTATGCAGTAAGTACCTGTCGCAATAAGGTCATGAGATCTCCACCAACACAATATTCCAAAACCAACCACAAGTGAGATGGCGTTTCATACCTAATATATACACAAAGAGGTGTGAAAAAACCGAAAAAAGTAAGCTAAAAAACAAAGAAAAGCATGAACTGTATCACCAAGTGAAAAATAAATACATTGAATGAAAATAAGAATCTTGAGAGGTATTACCCACACTAACAAGCCTTACCATGAGTAAAATTTTAAAACATTTGGATGATCTAAGAAGTGAAGCATCCTAACCTGCAAATAATACCAATAAAAGGGTATGAGTAGATAACATCCGTAAAACTAGCATCAAGCGCCACTTGAATTATCTAAAATAGTGATAAGGGGGCATAAAATATTCTACACCACCTCATTTCCCATGAATCAAATAAAGATGAGAAGGATTAGAAAAAAAAAAGAAGAGGAAGAGGAAGAGGAAGAGAGAAAGAAAAGATGACTTTCAGCCAATTCAGCTCAAAATTGAGTGTTTTGAACAATGGGTGAGAACTCATACCCACAATTTCTACTAAAATTATTTACCCGCTGGCTATTTCCTGTCTAGCTCCCAATAATACAAACATACTTCATTGACTTCGTTAAGCACGCCAGGTATTTAAGATCCACTGGCATCTTTAGTACTTAATTAAAGATAAAGCAATGACACTTACAATTGTGTTAAGTCAGCTATTAAACCAGGCATTTACCAAATTAGGCAACGACATTGTGTTAAAATTAGTTACTAAAACAAGCATTTACCAAATTCAAGCAACTAAATTAATTACTAAAATAGGTATTGCATCAAATTTAATCAACTAAGTTGTCTTGAATTAGTTACTTAGACAGCATTTTATCGAATTAAAAATCAGAACTTAAATTTAACTTTAATAAATAGATAAATTACTCCAGTTCCACCAAAAACAGAAATCAAATAAGCAAACAGAACAAGGAGAGCTATTTATTATCCTTACTTCATGAAGAACTTTACTCTTCTGCGACTTATCAACACTCTTAACAGCGAAATACTCGATCGTCTTCTTCTTTCTACCTTTATACACACTCTACAAAATTCGAATCGAAAATCAGAGATTTAAAGAAATTCACTAATTCTTAAGAAATTGCAACTAGCTACAGAGGTAAGTTAAGTTACCGAGTATTTGCCACGGCCAATGGCTTCATAGATGTGGAAATGGTTCATGGTGAGTGAACTCGATTTCTAGGGTTTCGATTTGGATAAAGTGAACCTGCGTTTTGAGAGGATTGTCGGAGATCAGAGAGGGGAGTGGTTGGAAGCGAGTATTTTGGGAGAGTTGGCTTGGATTATGATTGGAGGAAGGGCCTGGGGGATTCCGCTTTAGTGATTGGTAAAAAAAAAAACAAAAAATATGAGAGAGAAAGAGATAGAGCTATGGGCGGGAATATAGATGTAATTTAAAAGTATAAAAGCCGAAATTAAGATAAACATGTCGGGTTCATGGGCACACCACACCTTGTATCCAAACAAGGCAGACGCATTTTGAAATTTTTGAATTTTCGTGGTGCTATTGCTGTACTGCGGTGAGCTATTTGAATGAACATTATTAGGCCCTGGTTTAATTTTCTAATGATCAACTTAACCTATTGACTATAATTTTTGGCAAACCGACCCTTAAACTTTCACTTCGTGGTAGTATCATATTACATGTGGCAAGGCTACAAGCAGCATCCATTTAATTGGTATGACTATCATCAGTAGCATGCATGTAAGAACCCAATAACTCCAACTACCATTGTCGCGCTCAGAATTTCAATAAAAGATGTAAAACTGAAAAATTAAAAACCTTGCAAAATTGTACAAGTTATTTGCTTTATTTTGTAACTCAAAATAAAAAATAAAAAATAAAAAAAACAAGCATACTAAATTCATTTTGGTTGTTTGGTTTCAGTTTGTCTTTTAAATTTTTTGTTTTGTTTTCATAAAAATCGATTTTTAGAACATGTTTGAATTTTTTATTGTTATTTGAACTTTGATAGTTTTGTTTATAACATGTTTGAATAATCAATATATTTTTATCATTATATATTTTAGAGATGAATTAGTGGATTTATATTTAAATTTTGATACCTGATAATGAAATATGATTTTGTACTTTAATTTTATTTAAATAAATATTTATTATCTTCCATATATGTTAATTTAGACTATCTAAACTAAAAAAAGGACTCTATAGTTCATAGCACAAATTTATTAGCCTATTTATATTATTTTAAAAAAATGATTTTAACCAAAAAAATGAATAGTAATTTCGTTCGGGTTTGATGTTTTTGATAAGTTTTGTTAACTAAAAATCAAGTAGAAATGTTAAAAATTGAAACAAAAAAAAAATGAATGCTCACCTATATATGAATGAGAATCAAGCAAGAGTAGCAAGAAGATATCATAGCAGGGGGAAAAAAAACGAGGTGCTCATAAAAGGTGTTTGATTGCACTGTTATATTTATTATTTTATGTGAACAATTTTAAGAATCAAAACCAATTTTTTAAAACAACAAAATTTGGTTTTCAATTTTTTTATTTATATGACATCATCAACATTACTATCATCATATCACCACAACGACCACGAGTATCACCTTACTATCATCATTATAATGATGACGACCATCATGGTTAATACAGCTACTACTTTCATTTTACTTATTCACCACCATCACATCCTTTAGCACTACCACCATTATAATTAATTCCACCAACACTACGACTATTATCAACCTCTACAAACATATTATGACTATTTTTGTTGTTGTCATATTATTTAAATCATCTCTATCGTATCATTATCACAAACTACAACTATCATTATTTACTATTAAAATAACCATCACCGCAACTTTGGTAGTACTATAACCTTATATTATTTTTAGCATCATACCAATCACTAGGATCGTCATCATTAAGCACGTTGTTGCCATAATGTCACCATTTAATCATCATAATTAAATTATATAACAATATTATTTTCTTTATTTTTTTAATTAAAATATATTATTATATATTTTAAATTAAATATGCAACGTATTTTTTCTTTATAAACATGTATTAAAAAATAAATAGTTTTCAGAAAACAATAAACATGAAACGGTTTTTGGTTTTCCAAAAATAGAAAATCAAAATTGAGAAATGGTACGAAAAGGCCTTGAAGTATATCATTCACCTAGACTTTCAAATTTGGTTCAAGTATGCGAGTTATTTACTATAAAACTAAAACGAGTTGAGGTTTTTGAACAGGTAATAACCAGTGATGAACAAGTGAAAATCATTGTTTATTGTTGTAGCTTTTTTTTTCTTTTGTAATTTTCAATTTGTTTCATTTTGGTTCCTAAAAATTTAAAATAAAAATTTTAATCCCCTAATTGATGCACTATACGTGCCTTTTTTCTTTTTTTTTTGCTTTTTTCATCAATTTACGTTCTTTTTTTATTTAATTGGGTGTTAAAATTTTAAAAAATCAATTTTTTCTTTGCTTTTTTCCATCAATTTATGCTTTTTTTTTAATTGGGAGTTAAAATTTTGAAAAATCAATTGTAACTTTTTTCCACATAAATCGACGATTATATAATATATCTTTTTATATTTTAAAATTAACATATACTTCAACTTACATTACTCTTATTATTTAAATTTCATTCTTTGAATTTATTATTTTTGTTATGAAAATTCTCATCAAATTAATATTTTTTATATGAAATTTTATTTACTGATATTATATAATTGTTTTTCTTTGTGTTTTAGAATAAATTGGTATAATATATATCATGAATTCTAAGAATTTTTAAAATGATAGTTGCATGTATATATATATATATATATTATTCTAAAAGGTTAAAAGTTTATTTCAAATAATTTGTCTCAATTCACTAGGTATAGTCGGGACATATAAAAAATTATTGAATTGTTAATTTTATTAAAAATTAACTATGCATCTTCCAATATAATAAAAATTATTTACTATAATATTTTTTAACATTATAGAACCAATTTATTTGGAATAAAATGATTAAGATAATTTTTGAAATGAACCAACAATTTATTCAAATACTATTTTTTATGCTAATTTTATTGATTATTTTGTAAATAAATATATATAGATCAAATGCATGTACTTAAAAAAAAATCTTCTCACCAACAAGTAAATAAGAAAAAAATTTTATTTTTTCATTGGTTAATTTTTATGCAAGTCTATACATCAATTGTAACTTTATTCTTTGGATACATTCTTATAAAAAATATATAATTTTAAAGAATTTTTTTAAAAATTCTTAATTAATATTTTAGGTTTAAATTATTTCAATTTTTTATTTAAGAATCCCTGAATAAAAATAAATAAATTATGTTTTTTTTAGTAGAAATTTTATGAAAAACACACAAAAAAAAATAATAATGATTAAATAAAAAAATTAACGAAAAATTATAACATTTTGAAATGATTTTGTTCTATTTACTCGTAGCGTTGCATTGATAATTTTAAAAATTAATCTTCTCATCAACATTAAATAAGAATTTTTTTCATTTATTAATTTTTGTAAAAGTTTATCCAGTAATTCTATTTTTATAATATAATATTGTGAAAATTATATTTTTGAAGTTTTTTTTTCAATTCTTGATTAATATTTTAGTTAAAATTATTACAATTTTTAATTTTAAAATCAATCCTTAAAGAAGAATGATTTATTTTTTTAAGCAAAAAAATTATAAAAAAACATTAAAAAAAACTAAAAACATAAAATATTGTAATTAAAATTTTTTTCAATAGTTTTGTTCTACTAGACTTGTGGAGTAACGTGGGCAATCGACTAATTAAATCTAGATCGAATCGAAATTCAATACCCTGCCACCTAACCGATTTAGGTTGATGTCAAAGATCAAATATTCAAGGAACTTGAGCAAATAGATTCTTGAACCAATCAAGTCAAAGATCAAATATTCAAGGAACTTGAGCAAACATATGCTTGAACCAATCAAGTCAATGTTTGACGAGATTTGAGGTACATTTCTTAGAATACTTTATTCATCGATGAAGATAACACCTAACATCCTCATTTTTATAAATTACAACACACTTATTCATATTTTACATTTTCAAATAACACAATATTTTTCTAAAAAAAGAACGGACTATTGAACTAAACATGCTTATCACAAGATAAATAGAGCGAGAGGATCGAATTCAAGTTCCATCTCTAATAATTTTCTCGTCGATCTTGGAAAAAAATATAAGAAAGTGCATGATTAAACCTTACTAGTATAATAAGGCAAAGCACTAAACTTATGTTTATGTTTATGTTAATTATGTATTTTTTGTTTTAAATTTTGTTAATTAACTCCAGGTGTTTTTCTATTGTATTTGATTAACTTTTTAGCTATTTTTTTATCAACTTCCCTCCATCAACTACGTTGATATGGCCATGAATGGAGTTAGATTGGCCAAAAATTCTTAAATCTTAAGATAATTATCATATTGCAAAAGAAAAATCTTTTAAATTACAAACTTAGAAATAACAACAAGAATGGTAACAAAAATTTTAGAGACTTTCGACTGAGATTAACTCAAACCTTAAAATTGAGTTCTTAAGTACAAAGGTTTAGAGGGATCCAATGAAGAAATAGAAGCATAAATTGCTTGTAAGAGTTTCTTAAAGAGAGAAAGGTGGTGATGAGACCAAAATTATAAATAGATAGACATTAACCAAAAGCCTCAATTGCCTCCTTTAAATCAATTTTTATTTCAAGACCTAGACTCCAAAAATCTATCAATGATAAATATGGCTTAATCACATTAGACGTTACTATACTCTTTTGATTTTTTTAATGTGGTATATGTATTGATTTTATTCAATCCCTTCTTATCCTCTTCAATTTTTCTTAATATGGTTCATCCAATTTTTTTCGGTTATTTTTCTAATTGAAAATGACAGATAAAAAAAACGTTATATGGCATGACATCTTAGAAATAATAATCCAAGTGGTAAAAAAATTTTAAAAAAATCAAATCATGAATAATTATTAGCTACTTTTTTCTCTTTTCTTTTTCTACTATGTTGAAGAAGGCATAACACAAAACATGATTGGTGTTGACGGGGCCACGAAAAGGTGTGAGAGATGATTCGCCCCTAACTAATCCAAAAGAACTAGAAAACCCTAAACAAATTGGTCTATAT